TGGGGGGGGGGAAGGGTTTCACGTGTGTCTCCACCATGAGTAGTGTGTGTGTGTGTGTGTATGCGGAGATGCTTTGCCTTGTACTCAACAAGAAATAAAAATATTCAGTAAGTTCAGAGGATCAAGATAGTTTACAGTATACAGAAGGAAATAATGGAATACACACACACACACACAATGCACACGATAACCTGATGGCATCAATGCTACCCGTACGTGAAATAAACGAGCTAAATAGAAGTGAGATCCAGAAAACTAGTACAACCGAGCCGCAGATTAGGTATGTATGTTTGCATATAAAATGTCACTCTTGCCGGATCAGTAGAGAAATCAAACCAGTCTTGGTCAAAAACAAACAGGCAGACAGTAAGTTATTGGGAAAGGGATTGGGAGGAGTAGGAGAATAGAATAGCCAAACCTAAGAAACGGGACTGTGGACGCACGCAACCTGATAGACACACCGAAATGCACAGACGCGGATAGACATAAGCGACAGAGACAAGATGCATTCCCCGTTACACACACTCGCACACAGCTGTCCGACACATGCGCATCAACTCAACCGTTCACAGTTTGTGCATATAAATGAGTGAAAGAGAGAATGGGAAGTGGCGCAATGCATCAAACTGCAAATTGTGAATTGTTGTCTGGTCCGGTGGACTGTTGTTCCACTGCTGCTGCTGCTGCTGCTGCTGCTGCTGCTGCTGCTGCTGCTGTTTGTGCCCCGTCGTGGCTTCTGTCCGCACGCGAATGACTCGGTCCGCCGTGGCCTGTTGTGCCACCACGACTATTGTGTCCGGCCGAGTTCCCATCCCGCATGAAATGTGTGATCAAATCCACTGGAAGAGGGAAAATTATGGTGGAATTTTTCTCCGCCGAAATTGTGCCCAATGTTTGCAGATAGCGAAGCTGAACAGCAAACGGAGATTCCGTAATCACATCGGCAGCTTCTTTTAGTGCGCGTGATGCTTTCCATTCACCTTCGGCAGCAATGACCTGCATTGAAACAAACAGTTGATCAGTTGTATCAATTGGTTTATACTCCAGGTTTTATATAAACTGGTATCAAACCGGAGAAAGATAACTCATACAGAACTAAACTTATTTACCTACTCAACTATTTATGTATTTAATTAAATAATAACGAAACCCTCATACAGACAGGCAGGTGTCCACAAAGCATATGGATATTCATTGTAAAGCACCTCCTACACCGAGCTCAACGAAGCTTAACGGAAGTAAAACACTTAAATATATAAAAAAAACGGAATATTGAAAATACTCAGTAAACTCTAATACGATATAAAACTGTATAATAAAAAGTAATTTCACATCCCCAGTAAAAACTGGATAATTTATCTATATGCTGAACGGTAAAATCACGTGAACAAAATATTTGTGATGCTTTTTTCCATAGTTCCCTTAAATCACGCAAATTCTAAAACATTGTGGTCGATTCGTATGACTAAAGCATTACTTAGTAAAAATTAACTAAATTATATAGTGCATTCTGCCATGTTTTCAAACAAGTTCAGTGTGAACTGGAAAGCTAAGTACTGTACCGGAGTTGCAACCGGTTCTCCCGACTGAAATGTTTGCAACATAGTCACAATCCCGAAGGCTAGTGCTGAGATGAGTTGGGTGCGATGCCCGCGTGGAGGATGAGTTGTGCTATATCGCATAAAAGCCACAGAGAAACGGTCCGATCAGCTGCCCGGTGTCCGAGGTCTCCGTGTTCGATGGATTCGCGCATTGTTTCTGTGGAGATCCCGTCAAGTGAAAACAACTCCACAATGTATCCTAGCCCGTAATTTGCTCTATACGCGATAAAACGACAACTATTCCCATCAAGATTTATCCAAAACCCGCAATCTCTTAGCCTCGACCCGCAATCCTTTAGCCTCGACTCACAACCTTTAGTCACACCGCTGTAGGCGAGTCAGAATAAAAACTATCTGAATATTCTGAGGTCAAAGAATATTGAAAAAAATTATATTTTACAAATTTCGATATTTTAAAGCTTGACTAATAAATAATAATAATAATAGATTGATCGATTCCTGGATGAACATTACTATTCAGTTAGGAAGCTGAACATCCAGCCCATGGAACGGAACTCGGAAGCGGAATATGCCGATTGGTAAAAGAGATCGGGCAGCGCAACCTTGAAACTGTATATTGACGAGACCAATTACAACATATGGTCCTGTCCCAGCTATGGGCGATCCAAAGTGGGCTGTAAAGCTATTAGATGCCTCCCGTCCAGCAAAGGACCCAACTTGAACATAATAGCGTGTTCATCTGCCACCGGTACCCTGAAATATGAATGTCATACAAAGATTACTTGACATGTTTTCAATGGGTTTCTATCAAGCTGCTCTACACTAATCGCTACTGAGCAACCGCGTGTCCCAGTAGTTTTTATCTTTGACAATGCGTCCGTTCATCGGAGAGCTTTGGATGAGCAGTTAAATGCCAACCACCAAGTCCGATTTCTCTCACCATACAGTCCCCTTTGTAATCCGTTGGAACAGACCTTCCATACATTGAAAACTAGTTCACTGAAAACACTGAAGCCATACGAGATGTGTTTTTATTACACACCTAGGTGTGATGAACAGCAGACGGGGTAAACCCCATAGTCACGAGGACCTGCTGTTCAGTGGTTGAAATCGGCAACCTAAGCCTCGGAACTTGGAGTGGCGAACCACATAAGGCCCCGATAGGTTTGTACCAAATGGTTTGACGATATGGGCACATCGTCTAAATCTACTCCAGTCACTGTGTGGTGCGGCATTTGATACCATTACTGCAGTCAACTACGCAGCATACGATCGCCACACCTCATTTATTAGCCAAGCTTTGCAATATCGAAATTTGTAAAATATAATTTTTTTCAACATTCGTTGATCTCAGAATATTCAGATAGTTTTTATTCTGACTCGCCTACAGCTGTGTGACCAAAGGTTGTGCGTCGAGGCTAAAGGACTGCAGGTCGTGGTTAAATGATTGCGGGTTTTGGCTAAAGCTTGATGGGAAAAGGTTTAATGAATAGTTGAATTAAATTCCCTACTACTAGAATCAATAATTGGTTTTATTTGGACTGGACTATTTCAAATGCTTTGTGTCGTGATAAACAGGGTTCGTGTGTGATTTGTACTTCATTATCCGGTACGAAGTCTGCCTCAATGTTGCTCGAAAACGAACAGAACTCACCACGGTTTGGCAATATGTACCAAAATGAAACACACACGTAGTGCTGCTATGTATCTCAACCGGGTTCACATTGGATATACGCTTGTAATTTGCATAACTGAAAATTGATTGTTGTTATCTCAAAATGAGCAGTTTTTATTTCTTTCAACTGATCAAATTTGTATTTCTCCAATGGCCAACTTTTTATCCTCCATGACGGTTGCACCAATGATAAATTTCCAAAATCGAGCAAATGATCGTATACCATCAAGTAATTAAAGAATCAGTCGGGAAATAGAAGGGGTTGAGGGTATCAACCGAAGTCATCATATTTTACTCATATGAGTGAAAATTAGACGTGCACGCATGTACATGTGTGTGTGTGTGTTTATGTGTGTCGTTTAACTCTTCCTGGAGCTATGGACTGCATGAAATTGGACGCGGACAAGTTGACTGTGAATGCTGGAACAAATGTTGAAAAGCGTATCTGTCTTGATGGTTGCACTGTCTTGCTTGAATCAGCTAACATGAACAGTGGCATGACAAAGCCCAGGGAACAAATGTTCAAACATGTATATCACTTGTACTACTTCGGAATATCTGAACTGATCAACAGCAAAAGTGCAACTCACCTTGGCACGAGCTTCCCGAGCAGCTTCAGCTTCGGCCGCCATAGCACGTTGTAATTGCACAGGCAGTCGGACATCTTTACTGCAGATCAAGGGGGCGGGAAAATAATAAATGTGTTGTCACTTACATTGCACGATGCTGCTGGGTGCTATTACGTACTGAAATAACCACTTCAAAGAACTTATTTCTGAGCGTAGTGGGGAATTTAGTTTGGTTATATTATGAAGTTGGTCGTGTGAAGAGCAAACTAGCATGAGTGAACTGAAAGGGCAGGAAGAACTGAACGGTTGTGTTTGATCTGTTTGATCTGTTCAAAGATTATTTGATGTTTTCCTCTCAGTCTAGATTCCTTCTATCCCAGGATCAATGAGTTTTATTGATTTGTTGTCCTCAAGCACTGTTCTCAAAGCTCCTTTAAAAGTAAATGATCGCTGTCAGACCCCTTGGCGATCGGGGAATACACTGATAATAATGATACGAAAATTCTTTAGGTCAATCACATATTTGTACATTCCCGTTTGTAACAGTCAACTGTAAAACAGAGTTTCGGACCGAAGCATTAAGTCAGAGATATGTCAATGAAAACAAAGAGGTGTAAAGTGCATGCAGCGGAAATAGCGGATATGTGGCAGCGCTGCTGCTCCCCGGTGGTGTTGGTGTTGTTCGCTTGACCCCAAGTCCGTCATTAGGAAATAACCATCTGATCTGGTCAAACAGTGAATTTCCAAAAGATAACTGACTTTGACATCTGTTTGGTAATGTAATTAGGCTAATACAATCAGCGGACGTGGACATATCTGCATTATCTAACAAAATAAATGATATGATTCAACTCCCACTCCATCCCACCCTCGTTTGAACTTCACACTGCGTACAATGAATGCACATTAGCAGGCCAATGACGACAACATCATTAGACTTTGGTAACCTCGATCAAACAATCGATCCGATTTAAGGGCAAATGTTTAGTGACCAGTTATGCACATTCGAAAAAATACGAAAATTCAAAAGGGATTGAATCCTCCCTCTCTCTTTCGGTTCTGAGCTTTCTGTGTGTGTTTGTGTGTGTGCGTGGGGGTCGGTTGTCCCCCCNCCCATACGTTGTTCCCTGGCTCGTTCGTTTTTGTACACAGGCGCTCGCACGCGCGCGATCGCGCGCACACACACAGCTTCTGTGATCTGCACATGATGGAGAAAATTCCCCCAACACGACACCGGTTAGGGCGAGCACAAATCCCGCCCCCCACCCCACCCCCNCCCCCGCCCCGTCCCCGTCTCTATAACCCTGAGGAAGAAAGACACGTGGCCTTGACCGCAAAAGGCGTTCGTATGTACTATTGCAGTGTCAAGCCTAAACTCAAGTCGTTGGGGTTCAATAAATTAGAAAAAAACGAAACAAATGATTTGTACGCTTTCAGTATTTGTCTCTGTTGCACTTCCGTCCAAACGCTTTCCGAATTCGGACAATAGTGCGGATAATGGAAACAAAAAATGGGTGGGGGGGGGGCGAATGAAACTAAACTGTCGTGGTAATATACATGCGTGTGAGTTCTTTTCCAAATGTGTTGAATTAATTTCATTTTTTTCGCATTTCTCAAAATGTGTTTCTTTGAAGTACAGTTGCATTATAAATGCAATGGAAATGTTTGTGATAACCAACAAACAGCACTGGATAGCTTTTTCCCCCTGTTTTGCGGACTCATCAGCAGTGCTTGTTGCCTGTGAAAAACCCGGGAACTATAGAAAAACTTAAAAATAATCATTTATATTTCTCCGGTTTACAAAGCTTTTAATGCAAAATTTTAGGAATTGTGAAACAGAGAATTGAAATGCACCAGATAATCCCTGAGTAAGGTAAGCTTGACAGAGCCTGGTCTTGCCGATGGGATTCAAGCACAAGATTTCAAGTTGGCTCGATCGCCCAAGAAAAGATCACAGCCTCGTATCACTCAATAACACCGAGCAATCGGATCAAATGTATCCCAAGTGACAAACATAATTGGTCCACATTTTCAAATAGTAAACGTACGGGAGCGATCTATTAAGGTAATACGCACATGTGGACGAAATTGCATGGAGGAATAAACCAATAAATTTACCAATCGTCTTTCTTCGGCTTGGTTACTATCGCTATCTTTTATTTTCCAAGGCAAACAATATTAATTGGGAATTTATCATTGTTGAAATGCAAAGAAATTGCTTTTTGCAATATCGCTTTAGGCATTTACATATATAGTTCGATTAATCAGTAGAATAATATAAGACCTAGGCTCATGTTGAATGAATGTCTGCGTGCAACTTGTTTGGATGACAACAGGCTATGAGGTTCTTCCAATTGGCTAGAGAAAAGCCCGGTGAAAAATGTGTGAACCGGACACGATATGAAAGGCGTTATTCAAGAATGATTGAAACAGATGTACGGTACTGGCCGATTGTGATGCATTAAAATATTTTCTTTATGATCAAAGGGAGCTTCGTTACATTTATCATCCATAATAATGCTTTAGGTATGGACAATAATTTATATTTTGTCTACTTCGATGTACGTAGTTTCTGGGCTGCATGATTGTCAATTAAACATCCCTGACCTTGAGTGCCAAGAATAAATGATCTGAACATGAGAATCGCAAACTGTATCAAGTATGACAACGCAATACTTTCTAATGAGAAGGACTCAAGAATTATCCCTAATTAGTTCCGTCAACCCTTGCCATTTCCCTTATTTGTAATGAGGCATTATTTTATCTTA